CGTAATTAGTTACTAACTAAACTAAAGGTAAAGTAGTATATATATATATATATATATATATATATATATATATATATATATATCAATTTCACGCACGGCTATATGTGAATGATGAAGAGGCTGTGAGGGAGGACCAGAACTTCCCTTTGGAAAAACTTCATATAAGGGTGAGGCTCTAAACAATCAAATTAAGGTGTATATCGAAAAATTCATTGGAAGATGTTATTTTGATGCAGAAAAACTCTCAATTCGGTCATTTTGATCTTGAGATGCATGGACATGAGAAAAAATAGGTTTCGAGTCTTGGAAATAATGCATATTGTATTTATCTATACAGGCAATTTTCAAGATTTTTAAGTGTTCATAGATCTGCTTGATATACACTAATTTTGAATCTTTAAATTTTATTATTGAAGTTGAAAAAATGTTTTTAGGCCATTACAGAGATTTCGGATTATAAAACAACACATTTTGGCACTATTTGAAGGAGCGCCTTACTTTGTTTGTTTAGAGCCTCAGCCTTATACAAACCACACCCTTCTTTGTTTCTTGAATGTTAATAAACCTCGTCGTCAAGTCTAGAGGTAAGGCTTTCTTTATCCCTATTGAGAAAATTAATATTGAGCACGAATACTATGCCCCCTTAGGAGCACAATTTACTGACAGTCCCTCGGTTACATGATTTAATTGGGAGGGTGTTTTCAATCTGAAATTTTGGAAACCATGTTAGATAACATCACTAGATGATTTCATTTTTTGTAAAAAAATTAAAAGTTGTTTTTTCTAACACGTTGATCTCACTCGTGTCTATTCAATCTTGAAATATTATTTTTCTAAGTGCTTAGAGGGTGCAATTAGGAGTTTTTTATTAAGGTTAATCTATGTCTTAAAAAGGTCATATCCCCCAACTTTGGGGTCTTAAAACTAATCCTATGTGGGGGTTTTTAGAGGGGTTAAATAGACAGTATATACTCCAATGGAGGAGAATACGATGTGTCATTGATATTTAGTGACGACAAACTTACATTTGGAGAAAGACTAGGGACCAGAAAAAATTACATTTGGAGAGTAAGAGTGGATAGGGTGGAATAGGAGTACGCATCACTTTTGCAGTCCACTCACCTTTTTCCTCTTACTTTGCTGTTTCGTTGCTGTTTCGCTGCAACATGCTTTGGGCCATGAATCACCAAAAAAACAAAAAAGGTCCATCAATTTTGAGTTAGGAAAAAGTTTATATAGAGCCGAGGCTCTAAACAATCAAATTAGAGCCCACCTCAAAAATTTCATTAGAAGAGGTTGTTTTGATGTCCAAATATCCTCAAATTGATCATCTCAACATCAATATGCATGGACATGAGAAAACAATGGATTTCAAGTTTTGAAAATAGTGCATCTTGTAATGCATTTTTGGACTGTCAATTTTCAAGATTTCAAGTTTTCATAGATCTACTCGATCTACACTATTTTTGAAGCTTTAAATTTTATAATTAAGGATGAAAATATATTTTAAGGCTATCACAAAGATTTTCAGTATTGAAACCACATTTTTTGACACTATTTGAAGGCGCGCTTTACTTTGATTGTTTGGAGCCTCGGCTCAAACCGTACCTTTTTAAGAATATGCAAGGGATAAAAAATGCTATTTTTTCTTTTTACATCAAAGAAAATTTGTGGGTTTGTTTTGGGGGGATTTATTTATTTGTACTTGGAGACTGAACTATTTTATCTCTCTTATATATTTTTTTATCTAATTTCAAATAGCCTATCATTCTTTTGATAAAATTTCAAATAACCCATCAAAGGGCATTTGTTTTGAAATTCATCAAATCATAATTGTAAAGGGAAACTATGTAATGAGACCATTTACCTTTGGTAGAAGGTGGCCACAATTAATCTTGACCATTCGATATGAAATTGAGTGGCTGCATTTATTTTAGTGACCAATCTCAAAGTTCAAAATAATTTTTGTTTAACTTTGTGACAAATCCAAGCTATCAGATTTCACATCGTATGGTTATAAGTAATTATGACCTTCTTGTACAAAAGGTAAATTGTCTCATTATATACATTCTCATAAATAAATATTAAATAATCCAGTTTTAGGTGCATTTTGATCAATGTCCTTTTCTTTAAAATGACATCCTGTTGGAAACCCTATAGATCCTACTCTATGTTAGCGTATGGATATCTCATGTTAGTATTGATATACATCATTACTGATACATATCATTATGGATATATATATCTCGTGTTAGTATTGATATACATCATTATGGATACATATCAGTATAAATATGTATCTATATGGGTATATATCTCTTGATAAGATTAGATGTCTAGGAAAGATTAGTTAGTAATTATCAATAACTGTTGGTGTCTTTCCAGAACTGTTACTAGCTGTATATTTATATGGGGTCTTATAAACAATTTAATATAGTTATTTGCAGTATTCTGAAATAATCCCCCATGAGGCCATAAGGCCCAAATATACAGAAATACAGTTTCTAACATGGTATCAGAGCAATGTTCATGATTTGGTATTTCGTCTCTCAAGCATCGAGCCTTTGTTTCCAATTTCTCTGATCGGTTCCAGTTTCTCTGATCGGTGAAGCCCTCAATCTTATTGCGACTCTCTGTCTAACCTTTCTTTCTAGTTTCTCTGATCAGTTTCAAGGTTTTTTGATCGGTGAAGCCCTCAATTTGATTGCGACTCTCTGTCTAACAGCTGCGGCACCCTCTCTGATGTTGTTGAGTCTACTACACCTTCTCTGATGTTGTCGAGTCATTGCCTCATATTCGTTTCAAAAATTTCAGTACCCTTTACCATTTCATGGGTGTCTTTGGAAAATCTACCCCCATATTCCAAAGCATCTTCTTTTAGTCGATGTCGTTGCCTCTAGTCCATGCCATTTGCATGCTTGGAACACATCTCTCCAAAAATAGAAGGCATCAGGTGGTCTTTTAGAGAGAGATGTGAGTCTGGTGATGTTGTTGCGGGTTATAGCTTAGGATATTAGTGAGGCATGAGTTGTAGAGAGAGAGATTGTGGAGAGAATAAAAGGTTGTTTTTTTTGGGATTGTAGAGAAAGGGTAAAACGTTTTTTTTATTTTATGTTATTTTTTTGTTAATAAATTAGATAACCTACAAGTTTGTAGGATTTGAATTCTTCACATTGCAAAGCTCAACACTCAGACTTGAAACAAGATCGAGACCCAAAATTCTTGCTGTTGCCTACTGTGTGATCTCCTACTGGGATTGCAATAGAGAGAGTGAAAGAGAGAGAGAGAGAGAGAGAGAGAGAGAGAGAGAGAGTAGTTACACCGACCCGAG